GATGACCAGTAGATAGTCGTAACACCTCCGACCACTTTCTGAAAATAAGGTGAAATCAGTTTGTTATCGGTGTTCCGTCTCATCACACTTGTTCAAAACATACATGGGTAAAGATGCAAAAGAAGGACAGACTGTGAGCATCCACTCCAAACTTTGCGTAGACCGATCCATTAGCATATTCATAATAATCGTCAGTAGCGGCAAAACAGTAGAACGTTATAAAGCCATAAATAAAGCCCCATGAAAGTACCAATGAAATAACGATTGTTACAGGAATGGTTTCGTGGAAGATGCGCAAAGAATGTCGCCTGAAATAACTTCTGTAGATAATTGGTGGGCAACCTTTCAAAAGCTCGAAGAAAACCAATTTTGAAACAATACTGACCTGCACAGTGCAATGTATCTGTATGCAAAATGAAGTGTCAAAAGAGCAGTGTTAACGCCATACATTCCTATGAAAAAACAGAGGGACAGGAATCCCCATGGTTTCACGGACTGGAAAATACCGTGGCTGAACGTCATCAGAGATGTACCGTATATGTGAATGCCCTGAATCAATTTGAAATCATTAATGAACAGCAGATCGGACTGTTATACTTACTTCCTATCTGATGAAATGCGGATAGCGAAGTGTATCTTTAAAATTTCATTTACTCCAAATTTTTNTTTTTCGGGGATTTATGGTTAGTTGACCTAGTTTACGATTGTAACTTTTTTTGACGCCTTTTTGCTGCTATCTCTGGTAAAATACGTCAGAAATGCACATCCTCACATCTTTTCTGCTTCACAGGCTCGAATCCTTTGATGAGCATCTTCTATGAGTCAGATGCTCGTAATTTAATGTATAGTCAGAAGGCTATCACTTACAGGCTTGGCTATGAATTCCATCGTCGCAAAGCCGATATTGCACACCGCGAAACTAGTCATTATATTTTTGTAGACTGGACCAACTGCACTTCTCGTTCCATTTCTTATCACATAAATAAAAATAATGTTCAATATTGTTCCAGAAACGAATATGCACGTAGAAGCAATGGCGACAATCTCTTGCACACTCATTGAACCTGAAAAAGCTTATTCCATCAATAGATTTAAAATATTTTGCAATTAAGTTACAGCCTTCCATCCCTCAAAATATCTCCATGTTAAAAGCTAAACTTCTGCAAACAAGACTAGTGACAGAAAGGTTCACGGTGCGTAACACAGAGCGAAAACGAAGGGAGTAGGAGGTCTGGTTGCAGGTTCGGTTTGCGAATGGGTTTCAAATGTTTTGTCATAGACTCCTACAAAATGCCTTTTGTATTCACTTCACACGTCAACAGTAATTTGTTTACAGTAGCAGTATTATAAAAACAATGTTACGTGTCTAGGAATAGAGGTTATGGCGCGCTTGAGATCCCAGTGAGTAATCCTGTTGATACCTCTTTCTTGCCACCTGGCTGTTTNTTTCTTAACGCAGAGTCTCGAACAGCGAAGTTAGATGACTCACAATGCTTCACTAACACGGAAGTCATGAAATTTAAAGTAAGTAGAGTTTGTTCACTTTATAACCTGCCCCCAAACTAGATTTGCAAATTCATTGAAGGAAGTGAGTATGAAGTGTAGTTGTTAAATCAAAAGATGGTTCTGTGATGAAACTGACGAGCAAAATATGGCTCTTATAAAGAGAATAAATGAAAAAGCTTCTAGAAAAGGTTTGTTGGAAAGGTTCTTGGGCCATATTTCTTACAACAAATACTGCTTTCTAACATATAGCTCTGTAGAAATTCTCTAAGAAAATTAAATCAACGATAATTCATTGAAATTTTTCTAGGGGTACCAGATCAGCGACGAAATGACTCCCTCCAAAAAAGAGATATGACTGTAAGCGCGTGATCAACTCATCTGTGGTTGCGAATGAGGCTTTTAGAATATGTTTCTACTGCTGTTGATTCAGCTTGCTCATAAGAGAAGCTGATGGGCGCTCAAGATGGTCTGATTCTCCGTATAGAAGAATAAAATTCAAGGATCAACTCATTATCCCGAGAATGTGAAAATTGAGTCGCTGTGAATTATATAGGAAATGAGTGTTACTTCCAAGACAAAAACAAAAACGTAACACTAAAGGCGCCCATTAGCGAGAAACGGGGATAATGGTAACCCTTACGATGTTTCAGGTTTGCTAGAAAATAGTGTAAGACAAGGAACACCAAAAAACAATGGTTGACGATGATTTTAGGCTGAGTGACGGAGCGACTGTGGCAGTTGTATTTCTTTAGGTCAAGTGTATTCATACCTAAACGAATCACTGAAGAACCAAGTAGGACTGATGGTTATAAGGAGAACTGTTTTGCATGTTGTACAGCGTTGAAAGTGAATGTGCTACGCCAGTGCACGTTTCCCCTAATTTCTCGATATCTCAAAAAAAGAGATAAATCGTTTGGAAAAAGCAGATGGTGTACTACAAAAAAGGCTGAGTGTTGGGGTATTGTAAGTACCAGCACACATAGCATACTATACATATACTGCACTCAGAACTTTATAATACTGAATGACCTTCTAGAAAGTCAGGGACTGATTCAAATCATTTACTTCACCGGTAGCTTGGAAACATGTAGTGTAGTGCCACCTCGAAATCGCGAGTTTCGAGTTCGAATCGTGTGAGCTTGAGTGAGTAATTTCAAATCCCTATGGCAAGCAAAGTAGGACGTCCCAGTGCGACAAGTTACTTTTGTCACGAAACTCTTCAAGAACTTCCTCACCACAGAAGATTGATCGAGGACTGCTTCGATAGTTCCGTCTTCATTGGGGTCCAAATGGAGGGTCACAGGTTTTACCTTTCGTCCCATTTTAGGAGTCAGAGTCAGAAGGCCTTGTTTATTTGGTTAGAGGATTTTGAGGTGTATGCTGGTCCGTGAACTTTATATCTCTTCAGGCAAGTGCGTGACTTTTAGATAACAAGGGAAGGCTTTTCCTGAAGCACTAACATTTAATTCTACAATTACCGAGCCTTGCAGATGTAATTTTGTGTGTGTGTGGGCGGTGTAGCATTAGTTGGTGGTTACGAGGACCTCACGAACCGATTTTGGTCAATTTACATCCGCTGATAGATTACTGAAAAACCATAACACAGTGAGTAACATTGAATCATTGAAAACACGTCTGAAGATGGATACATTTTCGAGTTAGTCATATTACGTTGTTATGGGACGCTACTGCTTACACAAATGTTTTATAAACAAAATGAGCGACTATGCAGTTTTGTACCTACAAAATTACTGTAACATCCAGACACGGCCTACAGTAAATAGGTAAGATTGTGGGATCTCAAATACAACCCTCGCACAGCACTCACGTGATGACTACTTCAAAAAAATATTTAGCGTCTACCGCTCAAAAGCTACTCGCTTCAAAAATTAATGCAGATTATGCGCTCCCATTGGCACTTCAAATGAGCGTCAAGACGTCAAATGATTTGCATGAGGTGATTGACGCAGAAATCAGAGTTTCCATGAGAGTTGTTGCAACCATTGCCACAACAAACGTCAGTGGTTTAGCAACAACTACCGTAATCTTCCACTAAAACTTAAAACCCCGTTTGCTGAGCTCGGCTGCTCGTGACTGCC